CTGAAACTTAGAAACTGCTGAAACTTTCTTTTTAAAAAAAGAATGCCCTCTAAAAATAAAATTAATTTGAGACGTATTTGTGAATACGAGCACCTTGGGGCTCTCTGGGAAAGCCCGTGGCAGAGGAGGTGGGGGGGATTATTTTTTTCTCTTTTGAATGGTGCTGAAGTCACTAAACCTGGCACCATGGAAATAAAGTTCTGACTTGAATCCACAAAAGCAAGAAATTCAAAATGAAAGGAAGGCGCCTGAGCGAGGCTTCGTGCTTGACTTAGTCCCTACACGGGACCGGCACAAACGCGCTCTGCAACTGCAAGTGCAAGCGGGGACGAGCTCAGCGGTGCCGAAGGCCCCCTGACATTTGAATGTCTTGCCTCTGTGGGTTTGTAATAACCCCGATTACTGCTTTAAAACTGGTTTTGCATGTCATTTACAATAGAGATGTGCAGCTTCTTTTTATTTTGTTGATATTTTTTTATGTGAAGAAAAAAAAAAAGTGTATTAAAACTTACAAGTGATCAACCATCGTATTTCTGGCAACACCACAAGACAGCATCTGTTTAAATACAAGTTTAACAAATAAGATCAAATTAACTGTATGAGATGAAGTGGATTGCAGCCTGTATGCTGTTCAGCCCAATTTTTTTTTTTTTTTTTTTTTTGTTAATGTTTAATAAACTTTTAAATTTTTCTTCTCTCACCTGTGTGCTTGCTCTGGTGTATCAGGGGCTGGGCAGAGGGCTTTCGGGAGGGTCTAAAAAAAACCCCCCCCCGGCCCCAGGGCGGCGGCGGCAGCCCGGCTGCCCGAGTTAAGGGTTGGGTATAACCATACCAGATGTGTACTTAGATTGGGTGATATATTTCTAAAAGTGTAGTATATTTAGAACTCTTTTATCTTTTAATAAAGTATTTTACTTATATATAATAATATATAAGTATTAAAATTATGGTGTACACTATATGACATCATTTACATACATATATACACACACTTTATCATGAGATGTGATCATTTATTAGTATACAGTGCACACAGTAATACATCCATAAAAATTCTGTATATTACAGAGTATTTTTATTCTAGTTTATGAAATAACTCTACTTTTAATCACCACTAGACAATATTTTTTAATCTAAGACATAGCAG